CTCCAAAATGGTCCTTATGCCTCAAGTCTTACTTTTTTTTTTTAATTTCAGGTTAACGTGAGGGTACAAACAACCAAATAACAATATTTGAATATGTTAGGTAGAGTCCCTCATTTTTTTTTTTTTTGAGACAACAACTCACTGTGTTGCCCTTGGTAGAGTGCTGTGGTGTCACAGCTCACAGCAACCTCAAACTCTTGGGCTTAAGTGATTCCCTTGCCTCAGCCTCCCAAGTAGCTGAGATGATAGGCACTCGCCACAATGCCCAGCTATTTTTTGTAGTTATCATTGTAGCAGGCCTGGGCCAGGTTTGAACCCGCTAGCCCCAGTGTATGTGGCTGGTGCCCTAACCACTGAGCATGGGTGCCGAGCCCATTAATAATTTTAATAGTAATAATATTTTTGATTGTTTCCAATGTAGTAGGCTTCATATTAATGAAATCACAGTTTGGGCGAGGTGGCTCATGCCTGTACTCCTAGCACTTTGGAAAGCCGAAACAGGAGGATCGCTTGAGCTCAGGAGTTTGAGACCAGCCTGAGCAAGAGTGAGACCCCATCTCTACTAAAAATAATAATAATAAAACAACAACAAAAGAAACTGAGGGGATCACTTGAGCCCCAAGAGTTTGAGGTTGCTGTGAGTTCGATGCCATGGCACTCTGCTCTGCTAAGAGTGAAAAAGTGAAACTGTGTCTCACCAAAAAAAAGAAAAAAACAGGCGACTCGGTGCTTGTAGCTTGGTGGCCAGGGCACCAGCCACATACACTGGAGCTGGTGGGTTCAAATCCAGCCTGGACCTGCCAAACAACAATGACAACTACAACAACAAAATAGCTGGGCATTGTGGCACCTGTTGTCTCGGCTACTTGGGAGGCTGAGGCAAGAGAATCGCTTAAGCCCAAGAGTTTGAGGTACTGTGAGCTGTGATGCCATGGTACTCTACCCAGGGTGACAACTTGAGACTCTGTCTCAAAAATAAAGGACATCACCACTATTACCTTGCTTAATGTTCCCAACAATACTATGAAAAGAAAAATGAGGCTCACTAACAGTATCACAGGGCTCATAAGAACCAGAGTACGAATTGGACCCACATGTCTTGCTCTAAGGTTTGCAGTGTTTACCTCCATCTCACACTGCCCCTCTGCCAATAGTTCACTGGTCACAAAGTGGAGAACACATGGTATGCAATACAGAGGAGGGGACTTTGCAGATGGTATGCTTAGGCTGGGGTTCAGATTCCATAGCTGTGTGACCAGGTGAAGTTTATCTGGTCTCTGTGACTTAATGTTCTCATTTATAAAATGGGAATGGTAAAAGATTCTTAGGATTAAATGAGGTACTCTGAGTAAAGCCATTATCTTAGAGGCTAGCATATAATAAGTTGCTAGTTGCCATGATTCTTCTTCTATACTTATTCAGATTTCTGTCCATTAATTAATCTACATACATCTTTCCATTGATCTACCTGCCCATCCTTCTGCCCATGGTACTTCTGGTTATCTTTCGTTTGCTCCAACCCTATCCACTTTCCATTCTTCTCTTCCCTGCTCTCTTCCCTGGGAGGCTGACCTAGAGATTGTATTCCTTGGATCCCAGGTCCTCTGGCTTTAGTTTGGGTTTTGCCCATGTGAAGCAGCAGCAGCAGGAGATAGGGGGTAGAAGGAGAGAGAGACTGGGGTATTAATTCCACAAATACTTCATCTTTCTGAATTTCTACCAGTGAACAATTTTCTCTGTGTCAGTTCTCAAATTGTCTTTGGAGAGCAGCAGCAGCAGCACCTGGGAGCTTATTAGAAATGTAACTTCTGATCCTACTCCAGATCTCCTAAATCTGAGACTCTAGGGTGGGGGCCAGCACACTGTATTATTATTATGATTACTTTTTCCAGAGACAGGGTTTCACTCTGTTGCTTGGGCTGGAGTGCAGTGGCATGGTCTTAGCTCACTGTAGCATCAAACTGCAGGGTTTAAACAGTTGTCCCCCCTCAGCCTCCCAAATAGCTAGGGTTATAAGCACAAGTCATCATGCCCAACTAATTAACAAAGTTTTGTTTTGGTAGACATAGGGTCTTGCTGTGTTGCCCAGGCTAGTTTTAACTTCTGGGATCAAGTAATCTTTCCGCCTCAGCCTCCCAAAGTGCTAGGATTACACATGTGAACCACTATACTCAGCCAGCAAACTGTATTTCAACACACCCTCCAGCTGACTCTGATACATGCTCAAGTTTGAGACCAGCTGTTAGGCAGTTACAGATCCTTTTGGGCTGCCCCCCTCCATGGGACTGTCTCTAAAGATTTTGAAATATTGTTTTCTTCTTTTGCCTCTTCAGGCCTTGGTATGGTTAACGGTTTCCCACCATTGGTAGAGTCCAAGTGCCTCATCATTTCACTTTGGTTTCTTAATCCAGACCTCATGTCTTCAGTTTTTCCTTTTTAAAAACATTTCTGGTTAAATTATTTGAGTGTATATGATATTGTAATATACAGGGTGTCCATAAAGTTTGTGTGCAATTTAAAATAGTGTGCAATGAACTTTATGGAGACTCTGTATATATTTGGTCTTTATTTTCCTTTCTTGAAATGTAGCTCCTCAAATCCTTAGAATTTTGTGAGCGCTAAGAGTGTCTTTTATGTGCTAAGGAGATGACTGGTGGTTGAAGACCCCTAGCCTCAGGATGGGAGCTAATTGCCAGGGAAATCAATTATGTGATAAGAAGTTTGGAACTTTCAGTCCTACCCACCTCCCACTTCTGGGGAGAGGAAGGGGGCTGAAGGTCAAGTTGATAAACCAATGGCCAATGATGTGATTAATCATGCCTATGTCATAAAGCTTCCATGAAAATCCAGAAAGATTGGGGTTGGGGTTCTGGACAGCTAAACACATAGAGGTTGTAAGGATGGTGAGTCTTTGTAGTGAAGTGATAGACAAATTATTATAACTAACTCACAGTTTTTCAGTAAGAGTTAAAATCAGTCATGAGCTCACCCATGTTTTCTCTCTCCTCTCTTTCTAGCAGGCACACTGTAGATTTCTGTTTTCACAAACCGCTGAAAAGAGCAGACAGAAAGGAAATGTAAATTCTTCTTTTTACATTAACCAGCTCACCGTCTTTTAGAATTTGTTCTATGTTCTCAATGGTTCCTGAGTTGTCCCTGAATGAACAATAGGGTATGAGCTGAGCCATCTGGCCTCAGGCCTTGGCCAAAATCGTATATCAGGTGTAGAGAGAATCAACAACAGGATCAGAAACACCTGTGGGAAAAAAACCCTACCAAAAGTCTGTCTCCAACAGCAAAGACAGTTGTTTCTCATCCTGCCAGTGGAAAAATGGATACAGCATACATAGCACCCTGTGAATTTGGCTGCAATGACTTTATTTCTCTTTGCCCCTCTGAAATTCAGCAGTCACTTGACTTCAGGGTGGGCTTTCTTCCTTTCTTTCTTTGGGATGCCAGCCATCTTATCTCCTTGTTTGATTTTCTCTCTCTGTCCCCATTCCCTTTCATTCTCTGTCCTTCCCTACGAAGAGGATAAAGTTTATACTTTTATATCCTTATCTAAGTCTAGAGAAATCATTTCTCATCCTGTGTGGAGCAGCTACTGAGCTTTTCACCCTAAGAGAGGTTCCTGGAGGATCCCCAGAGGGGACATGGAAGCTCCACACCTCTTCCTCCATGCCTCACCCTATGCCTCTCTTCCATCTGCCTGTTCATCTCTATCCTTTGTAATATCCTTTATAATAAATGGGTAAGTATAAGTGAAGTGTTTCTCTAAGATCAGTGACCTACTTTAGCAAGTTAATCAAACCTGCGGGGTTGTCATGGAAACCCCTGTTTGTAGCCACTTGGTCAGAAGCACAGGCCATCAGAAGCACAGGCCACAATCTGTGCTTATGACTGGCATTTGAAGTTAGGGGGCAGTCTTGTGGTATTGAGCCCTCAACCTGTGAGATCTGATGCTGTCTCCAGCTATATAGTGTCAGAATTGAATTGAAATTAGAGGACAGCCATCATTGGATGAGTGTCAGCTAGAAAATCACCTGTCAGTGAACTGCTTGGAGGGGAGAAATCCTCACATACCTCTTGGTAGCCAGAGGTCAGAGAAGTATTAAGTAGGCAAAATGTTTGGTTTTTCTTATATCTGTTTCCTG